CCAACGGCCAAGAAGCACGTGCAATCAAGTGAGCTCTGGATCGAAAGCTGCTTAACAGTGTCCGTGTGTTGGCGGCAGAGTTGGGGTGTAAGAACTTCCAGGTCTCAACAGGCTGGACATACTGTACTCGTAGTTCCTGTACATCCACATGAAAACCCAAGAAAAGGTCTCCATCCTCATACTCAAGTACGATGGGCGGTATGTATACATCCTGGTGCAGAAACGCTTGCACAGCAGCATAGTTGGCCTGGCGATCAAGAATCAAGCTCATCCGATTGTCCACGTATCGAACCACAAGGCCGAAGGTTGGCAAGCGAGAAGACTCTAACAGACATTTTCCAAAGTACATGTGCTCGTATAGGCTTACCACGGCATGGCAAGCTGCCGGAGAGAAATGGCTTCCCATCGGTGCACCTCGGATTTGTTGAATGGCCTGCTGACCCACCATGAATAGATTGAACTTGAAAGACACCTGTACAGCCTCCAGAAATAGGTCCATTGGGACGGCAACTCGTTTGTCATTCAACAGGCAATGCCGACCACGGATAGTTTTCATAACCGACATGTTGTTTTCCAAGTCCACAGTCACCACAACGCCTTTCAAGGCATGATCAAGATCCGCATCCGAGACGTCGTAAAAACGACAAAGCAATATGCGAAAGGTAATCATGAACCGCTCCCTTGGAATGCTCACGAAAAAACCTAACAAGTCTTGATTGTGCATGGCAAGCTTCTGTCTGTCTTGATCAGAGCTGTGACATCGCTTCTCAAAGAAAGCGTGTATGTTCTGCCAAAGCAAGATTGCATCGTTGTAAGATCGGGTGTGAGGACACACCTCAGCAACAAGCATCTCTGTGACTCGCGCAATCACAACCAAGAACTGGCGAGCCGGGTGAGAGGCAAAACTAACGATTGGCCTGCCTCCTTTCCATTCTTTCTTGAACTTGGGGAGAATGTAAGCCCATGACACACGGGCAGCACGAGATCCAAAACGGAAGGGAAAGGATTCAAGAATCCGAGGTGGCACTGCATGTTCCATCTGAACCATAATCGTCGAAGGATTTAACGACAATGGCTTGAAGACCGATTCAGCAGTAAAAGTGTTCTGGAGCATCATCCAATACTTCACAGGGCAAAAAACATGCGCATGCGAGCCTTCATGATCTCGGACATGCCACACCAATCCTTTGGTCCTTTTTCGCAACTCACGAACCTGATCAACCGACCAATGTGTTCCGACGTGTTGTGAGTGCATCTTCCATGCCTTCTGCCACACACTTCGAATATCAATAGTCGGATAATGCATCAAGCCATGATAATCGATCCAATGCCTCACGTCTTCAAGAAACATCGTCCAATGATCCGTGGCGTTCATGAATACCGGATTGGAGCAACTGGACTGGGCCAACTGAGTCAAATCAGGTGGCAGGGTCAGCAACGTGGCAGAAGAAGCAATGTGACCCTGGACAACAGTCAGGTGTGGATGACGTCGAAGAAGTTCGTGGCAGCAACATGTGACACCAGCCTGTTGCGGCTCCTCATGCGGGTCCCACGACTGCAAGATTGGTTTATGCGAAAACAACACATCTTTGATTTTAGGGTGACTTTTGGCAACGAGCGAGGTCGCTGGAATGTGGTACGGCAGCAGTCGATCCGTCGATACATCCAAAATATCTCCCAACATGCCACGAACCAAGCGTTTGAAGCCTACTTCAGGCAGCAAGAACGGAGTGGAAAGGGGGCGGCATGTAGTTGGGCACCTCAACTGTCGAAATTGCAGCACAGTGTTCAATCTGGACCTGCAGATCGTCTCATAGAACGGGTCACCCAGATGAGTGGCCATCCTGAATAATCTGTAGAGAAAATCCGAGTCAACTCGGTTGCTGCGCAGATATTTTTGGGCAAGAAAGGACTTCAACCCGTCAGAAGCTAAGTCAAACAGAATCTGATAACTGTATACGATGTTCTGAACAATGTGTGTCGAACGGAAGACCGAAGGAGTCAGTCCAGTGAGCTGGAAATTCCGACGTCGAAAGCGTCGAAAAGTTCTCCACGAAGTCACAAATCTGCGAACACATCTGACTGGATCCGAGTTGGCAATCTGTGCATGTTTTGCTCTGACAAGAGAGCGCACCCAAGGAGCATTGAGGTGAGGCTGTAGCAAATTGATAAATGTCTGTTCAATTGTGTGCAAACAATCGACCTGTGGGACATGCATGATCAACAGAGGAATGGCCATGTGATAATTCTGTCGTCGATAATGCCAAAACAGCGAAAGTTCACCGCACACTGACTTGCCGGCCCTGATCTGTTGGAATTTCCCCCATCTTGTACGCTCACGGTCGCCCAGTGTTTGGGATGATGATCCGACATACATGAATTTCTGTAACTCAGGCTGGAGAAAGATGCGACAATAAATCACCGACTGCGTCTGAAAGAATTTCCAGGTGTAGCTGGAGCATTTTAAACGTAGCTGAGAGGTCAATGGCGACTGTACAAGCCCGAACTCACAAGCAAGCAAAAGGAGTTTTCCACGGATCCAAATAACAATGTCCATGCACTGTCGTCCGAACATGGTAGGTGTCTCGTAGAGACCTTGGAAAAATAAATGAGCATTCCGAAGTAAATCCACTTCACTTCGGTGCCGTTTCCACCAACCTTGTGGCGGATTGTCGCTGCGATACAAGTCCCTGGCATCCAGTATGGCCTGTAGTCAAGCCACAAGAATTGTTCCGGCAGCAAGAATACGGAGCAGAGAATTCGCCTTAAGCTTGGGAATATCACGGATGGGTACGCCCCAGTTGGCAACAACCTGATCCAATTCGGCCTGTTCATTGGAAGGAAGGTCCGCATGCCATCGTTGGACATGAGCTGTCCATGTCTGGAGCTTCTGTCGATTGTTCTTGCTCAAGTTCAATCCTTCAATCCACGTCGATACTTCTTTGTCCGACTTGCAAGCCTTCCAACTGCGACTCAAGAAGTGACGTTTGCTTGGATCCGCGAGAACAATCTTCACAACCTGTCCAACATGCGAGGATGTTCCATACTCAGGCTGAGGAGCAGAACTCGAATTTCCTGGGCTGCGACCCTGGGTCTCAGCTTCATCGGGCTCAACATTCAAAGGTTCTGCATGATTCCCCGATGGTTTGCCTTTCTGGAATGCCTGCATGAGACTAGTTTTGGGCTCAGCCGTCTGACCACGAAGAAGGCGAGTGGCACCATCCGGAACTTTCTGAGCTGAGGGCGCGGACTCCGTCACACGTCCTGGGGGGCTTTCTTCAATCGGCAACGTTTTCGGAACTGCAACCTCTTGATTAGAAGAGCGGGAGGGGGAAGCATTCTCGAAATTCGCAAGCTGTTGTTGAAGAATCTGGATCTGATTTGCCATGGCTGCCTTCTCTGTGTCAACAGAGGCCTGAGGATACAGACCTAGCATGTAATCAACAACCTTCTGTGCCAACAAGTGTGTGGCCTGTGACTTGGAATCCGAACCGCTGCTCTTGGAAGCGGGGTCACTGGTACCAAGCACAATAGAAGCAAGCTCATCCAAGTCGACTTCTTCATCTCGCAGCTTTCCAAAAAAGGCGTGGCAAAATACAACTTCACCGATCGACTTGAAGCCTGCAAAGAAAGTCGGCTTTCCTTCGGCAATATGGCGCACCCAATACGAATTCCAACCTTGATAGAGCAACGAGTGAAGCGGTATCATATGGGTCGGACATCCATCAATCTGCTTTCGAACTGTCCAGTCAGTCTTCTTTACCCAGCGAGCCAAGTTCAAGCCTGCAATACAACGGGAGTCCAAATAATTCGGGTTCTGGCAAAACTCAGCGGGCATCATCGGGCCGAAGACTCTCGGGGAGTTTGCAGCAGGTGGGGATGGGAGACCTGGAATGCGGGGGGTTGGCGAAATGTTCATAATCTGAGCAATACGTGGATTGGGTTGCCACGTGAGGTTCTGTGGCTGAAGCACTGCCGGTCTGTTCACTGGTGGGGCAGGTCGGGGTGCAGGGTGCTGCCAACTCTCAGGGGTAGGTGGGACCAAAGCAGGCAAGGAGGAGCTCCAGAAGGGGTTGCGGCGGGGGGAGCGTTCACGATCCATGGCGGGATATGAGAACAACAACTGACTGCAAAGCTCAAGCCGGAATGATCTCCAGAAGCAACTCCGGAATGCGACTCCGATCTGATTTCCAGAAATGTGATTTCCACTCAGTGATCTCCACTTGAACATGTTGTGAAACGGAATTGATTTCCGGAGCTGCTAACACAAGAACCCCGGTGGGCCGGCAACTTCGCCGAATAGCGACAAGGCCCTCGTGAGGGAGCTCTTGCCGAACACAACTGGAAAGGCTTCCACTGACCCGCCTGCCTTCTGTAGATGACTTCTGTGCTCAGTGTACTTGTCAGATTGCGGCAAAAGTGCAGACAGCGAATGCATATGCCCTCATGAACATGACTGTTAAAAGAAAACAATCGGTGGACACACCTAAAACCTGCCTCAGAAAACAGAAATCCATTTCGCTAATCTTGCTGGCTCAGGGGCCCAGCTTTTTGCAGGTACGTCCGACTGGCCAAGTCGGATATCCCATCTGCAACCGTAGCTTCGTTGCACACGGTAGGTCGCAGATGCCGTGTGCCCCTGCAAACTTAAAAACGAAAGGAGCATGAAAGCAAGAAAAATCCATGGGTCAAAGCATGTACCTACAAAGGTTTGCAAACAGAAAAACCAAAGAAAAATGGACAAGTGAATGCAGGTTTGTCGCATGTACAGCAGAATAACACAAACAAAAACAGCCCACAGATCCGTGGCCTCTCCCTTGCCCGGGCCCTAAAACATCCTTTCTGGCTGCTACCCACCAACACCCCCGACGAATGCTCCTGCACGCACTGAACCCCTCCAGACCTCCTGGACAGTCGAAGATTCTACAAAGTAGCAGGAGGAGGAGCAGTGAGCAGTGATCGTCGCTGGACAACCGTCGAGTAATTCGTCGGAGGCAGACCCGCCACCAGCGGAAGAAGCGCCGACGGTTCACGGCTTCCAGGAGAGCGGTCTTCACCAGGCGCCCCTGCCTCGGTCGTCTGTGAAGCAGAAAAGAGGCAGAAGTTTCTGAGACCCCTTGGAATAGGACTGAGGTCTTCGCACGTGCTGCGGTGGTCGTATTGGCGTCAGGTGCGGCAATACCACCGGATCGACGACCTTTGGCACGCATGGCAGCCGGTATCTGGCAAACCCAGGCTATATTTAACACTACTCACCGTTGACCAGTGCACTGTCGGCTGCTCGTGATATCCACAATCTCGCGCACACAACAGCAGGGAAGGCCAAGAATCCACGCCTTCTCGGCATACAGCGTCCAACCTGACGCCCCCGGGGACTGCTCCAACGGACTGGGTGCAAGACAGAGACAAAGGCTCCAGGCTCCTGCCTTGATTGGCAAGAAACCGCAGGCTCTCAATAACCCACACGCGTGACTAGCCATCACAAAACTCATTGAACGAACTGTGGTTTACCTCGTAGCATGTCACTTGGTTAAAGCATCCACACGAACGTCCCACCTGGACAGTGGGACGTCAGCAGCGGCAGCTTGCCGGCTGTAGGCTTCCCACCTTTCGTGGCACTCCGAATCTACGAAATGCTGGCAGCTCCACCAAGGTTCCGGCCCGAACGGCTGAACCCGGAGCCATTGCGGCTGCCGCTGCTACCTCCAACAGCCTCGCAGGACGTCTCGAGAGAAACCAAAGCGCAAGCGAAAGCGATTGCGAGGCGAGGCCATGGCACTCCGGAAGCGCTGCGTGAACTCCGCCTGGCCTGGCATCAAGTCAGCAAAGTGGACATCAGAGAATCATATGTCATCACATGTCACAGTCTCGGAGTCTCGGCCGGCCTTCGAGAAGTGCCACGGCTTCGGCTGCCGAGGCATCCAGGACCAGGTCGGCACCCAGCCGTCGCAGTCCCTGCCAAAGAAGAGCGCTCCCATCCGCTCCTCCGCTCCGCTCCGCTCCGCTCCCGTCGCCCGGTGGCCACGGGCTGCTGCACCTCCCCGATCCGGCGCAAGGTCAGCAGAGGCCCCTCGCCATTGTGGGCAGCAATGGAGGTGCGGGCCTCCGCAGCTGTCTTGCTGTCTCTCGAACTCTCAAAAACCTCTCAAGATCTTAGCCAAGCTTTGCTTGATGCCAAGTGAGGCTCAGAGGCAAACATCTGGTTCCTCAAAAAACTCTCTCGCTTCGCGTCGAGGCTGCGGAAAGCCAACTCCGCAGTCGGCGCGCGGCGTGCAATACCCGAGTATGCAAACACAGCTTGGGAAAGCTTGGACTCTGAATTTGGCAGCGGGGCTGCTGACACTGCTGGGGCTAGGGACCTGCATGGCTGATTGCTCCAACCTTCCTGCGGGCCTCTGCGGAAATGGAGACGACGGTGAGAGGCGAAGTCTGGCCGAGACAAGCAAGATCAGAAAGAACGTCAAAAGCGTGACTCCGGCAGAAAATATAGCCTCTCTGAATCACATGTGGCTTCCGCTTTCTGATTCTGTTCTGAAATTAACCAAATATTGCCCATACTCGGATCTTTTGCCCGGACTCTCCAGGCCTCTGCGCGCTTCAGAAACTCGTCGCCACTCTGCTCTTGCCTCAGCTTGGCTTACCCTCCCCGGGCCCGTGCTTAACCTCAAGCGGCCCTATAGCCTTAACCCTCACACAACCCCTGATTTCTTTCTGCGTTCTCAAGCTCTTTGAGGCTTTCGGCTCACGCCAGGAGCACCGTGTGGTTCAGGTGCGACCGAAGTGACAGCAGAACGGTCTCGGCGCTCGTGACGCAGCCGCTGCAGGCCAAGCAATCCGACAAGGTCACCTGGCCGATCTGCGCCTGCGACAGGGGAGCCACGAGCCATTTGCAACCATGGGAGGGGGCCCGCGCCGAGCCGCGCTCGGCTCGCGCCTTGGGATCTGCGCCGCTCTGCTTTGACCTTGGCCAGTCGGAGACTGCCGAAGCTCCGAACACGACAGCGCTTCAAGACATCTGCCTACACAAACAAGGAACCGAACTAACACGGGACGTAGCCAAGCTGTGCACGCTCACGCTCCGCATCACACCGAACATCTCAGGTTTGCACTTGATCAAGTTGGGCTTCTTCACCTGCGGTACCTGACAGCCAGAGGTAGCCGGAGGTCAGAGGTCCACAGGCCACAGACCCCACGCAGCAGAACCTGGAAAGTCCGGAGTAAAAAGGGCGAAAGGACATCACAGCTACGCGGCTGCGCGACCCGCTCTTTGAAGTCTTTGCCTCAGCCACCGGAAGAGACCGAGCTTCGCTGACGTTTCCGAGCTTGGCCTTGGCGACGGCACTAAAACGAGCACAAGCAGCTACGGAAGCGACTGAAATCGAGAAACAAACCCCATACCCCAAGACTCCATGATTCAAACCGCAGAACTTGCGATTTCGAAGAGCAGAACAGACAAAAGAGACAAAAGGAAGGAGGGAGAGGGGGAGGGGGAGAGAGAGAGAGGGAGGCACAAAGAGGGCCGCTGCATGCCGTGATCCCTTTGAACCTCTAAGCCATCCACGACATCGACATCGCAGGTCTAACAACACGCTCGAAATATCAAACGTCAACCTGAGCATCCGTAGACCTATCGGAAATTGCATGTTTATTATTAGTATCATTTTAGAACACATCTCAATCTTCAAGCCAGGGCGAGCTGACCAGCCAGACGGTGCACGTCGAGGTTCACGTAAACTGCTTCATGCCAAGTCCACATATGTCCACTTTGCTTACTCGCATCGGCTCGCTGGCAAAGCGAGCTGGGCCGCCTGCGCTCTTGCCACTGCCTTCAGCGGCCTCAAGAGGCTCGGCAAGTGGGCCTGATACCTGCGATCCTTGGCTAATACCTGACGGTGGTGCTGCCATCCTACCCAGCTGCTGGTGCAGCACTGCCAAGTATCAGAAAGTCACAGGGTAGGCTGTGTCCAAGCCTCAATCAGCGGCTTCACACATTCCTGCGAGCAATCTTGATGCTGAGCCGGCATTCCGAGCAAAAACTCGACCTTCTGCCGCGGCAGCCTTCTGCGGATGTTTACTCTCTTGCTTGTAGCCACCAAAAAGTCCAAACTCCTCTGAATCACTTGAACTGCCGAGACCCCGAAAGCTCTCCTGTGACAGGGAGATGAAGTCGTCAAGGTCACCGAGCTTCACGCCACTGCTGAAGGCCATCAATCAAGCACTACCTTGGCCCACTGGACTGTCACAAGGGATGCTGCTGGCGGAGCTCCGACGCAAGCAATTAAGGTTGCCTGTTTCGAAACAGAACCATCTGAGAAGGTTCAGCTTGCGATCAGAATTGCTGATCTCCATGTGTCAACTTGTCCGGTTTTCTCCTTGCCTTCCTGCCGACTCGCTGGCGGATCTCGCAAACTAGCGACTCTCGTATGTCGGAAAGACGAACACGCATTTGCGATCAAGGCGCCCCGGCTTGTCCCAAGCAGCTGGAACCACTTTCGAGCCCAGCAGCAATGCGACCAGTGAGAGTGTCTGAATGCTCTGAATGCTTGAACCTCAACCCCAGCTAAAAAGCATCGAAGCGCAGGTTCGACTCGAGCTGCGAAAAAAACAAAGTCCGTCACGCTTTTGCAGATGTTGCCATGAAGCCCTGCGAGAGACTTGTCAGCTATGTACAGCTCTTGGCAAGACCCTCTATGCTGAAGACAGCAATCTTGGTCGCGAGTACTAGGTGCACCTGCTTCGCTAGGCCTTAGGCAACAAACGGAGAAGCTAGAACAGGAAGAGTCGCTTCTTCACCTTAGCTGCAAACATCGCTCATGTCTGCAAGCTGCGGCACCCTGGAAAGCCACAGAAGGCTGAACCAGAAGACACCAAAAACGCACGGGGGGTTTCGGAGCTGCAGGTGTTCACTCAGCTTTCGACCTACGCCGCTCTAAGGAGCCAAGGGTCGATGACGGGATCTGCATCGTAGGCCTGGGAAGAGAATGCCAGAAAGGACGTCCTCTCCTCGCTTGGAACCTAATATGGACAGTTCCTCGGCACCCATGGCACCCATGGCACCCTCACAACCACAAGTGATGCTTTGTACCCATGCATGGATGGATGGAGGGAGGTGTGTAGGTATGTAGGTATGTACGTATGCATGCATGTAGGTATGTAGGTATGTGTGCATGTGTGCGTCCATGCTCGCAGTGCATCTGCATGTGTGTTTTTTCTAGGCGATACTTGTTACGTTGACCGACCCGTCGTCTGGGCTTACCCTTGCATCAGGGCACCTTTGTTGCTTAGAGGATCTTGGCTCCAAGCGCCTTGAATCTAGGATGAGTGGGGGGGCCCTCCAACATAGTGAACACCAAGAAGACTGCAGCTTTGACGAAGACGATGCTCTGGGATCCCCGGCCGAAATGCCTTGCACGAAGACCCCCGTGCCTGACCCGGCGGACAGACACCAGTCCAAACAGTGGCGAGAACAACAACGCACCTGCAACTTACCGTGAAACCTGACATGAAACCTGCAACAGCCAGCCAAAGTGGCCTGCTGCAAGCAGGATCATGGAGATAGGATGGTTGAACTCCGCCAGCAAGGCCACCAGGAAGCCGATGATGTAATGATGCAGGTGGACGTAGACCCCCGCCGTCTCGGACCTCGGCTTCGCCAAGCCGACCGGCGATGGCAAAGAGTAGGCTCAGGAGAGCACGCTACGAAGATGTAGAAGCCGTAGAACAGCCAGATGGAGAGTCTGGAGCAGCAGTAGGCGAGAAATCCTTCGCGGAGAGCGCAGAGCTCCACATAAGTTCCTTCCCCGGTCCCACGCCCGCCTGAGAGTGGATTGTGCTTGAAGGCACATATGAAATGCCACAGCCTCGCCGGTACAAGTAACTTATGAAGGCGTACCTTCCGTTCTGCCGTTCTGCTGCCAAGGAGCAACAAGCCAACGGCGGCCGCAAAGATGGCCATGGCAATGAGCAAGCTCTTCAGGCCACCGTTTCGAAAGTAGGCGGTGGTGAAGGAGATCCTTTAAACAGAACAGCATGCAGCATGCCCATGCAGAGCTTCGGAAAAAGAGAACCGCCGAGCGAATTTCGGGCTTCCGGATTCCGTACATCCTAAACTCGGTTTCGCCCCACGTGTTGAGTCGCTCTGCCCACAATCATCCGTGCAGCACTCGATCTGCTCCTTCTAAACAAGATCTCAAACTCGAGATATCCGCCGCGGGTGCTGGCATGGATTCACGAAGACGGTTTGGGTGTGCTGCTTGTCTCATGGCCCCTGCGCCACCGTAGTTTAGCTAGACCTGACAAGCGAAGGCCCAAGTCCTGAGAACAGCTTCTCAAGACTGCTTTGCAAGACTTCGGAGACTGGATCAAAAACCTGAACGTGTCTCGACAGACGCAGAACAACTCCCTGTACTTCTGTTAGATTTCTCCTCGAGAGTTCCTCCACACGATCCAGGGAGCCCCAAGCCTTGGAAATGCCAGGGCGTAGGTTCAAACATCCCAGCATCTTGTTTGGGACGGTCGTTCAACAAGAACAGCCCCGAGATCTGGGGCTTCTTTACATCCAAGGGCCTATCTCGTGCATGACGACACCAGTAGTTACTCCAGTTCACAGCTGCTCGCACTATCAATCCAAGATCAACCGGCTCACCCATTTCAAACACTGGCTCCGAGTCAGCCTTGACTACTTCGAAGCCGCGACTCTCACCTCAAACTCCGAGCGCCACGCAGGCCCGCTGAGCAGCATGATCCCGACAAATGCGAAGCCACGAGGACGAGGTCTTCGGAAACGGAAGAGGTAGGCAAACCTGCAAAGCACTGCAAAGCACTGCAAAGTGCCAGTACGCAACTGCCGCAACTCCAGCTGGAGCGCCGGCTGGAGCCGGGCGGTGACCGGCTGCAGGCGCCTGTCTGGCAAGTGCACCCCAGTGAGGATGGCGAGCATGAAACCCATCACGAACCTGCGGACTGTGGACGCTCCACACGCTCTGCTCTGGAAATCGTTCAACCTGGGGGTGCGAAGTGCTGAGGCTGCCGCAGAACCTGAAAGTCATAGACAACTTCTAGAAGGCGAGTGTCGGGATGGCAATCTCGAGGAATACCAAACCTTGAATCAGCACAGACCACGACGAGAGAGAACATGAAAGGACGACGGGTGACCGGACTGTGCTGCAGTAGCACCATGAAAAACCTCCTAAGTTGAGAAGAGAAAATGTTGGGTATACATCCCACAAACACCAATGCCGCCGCCACACTGGCAGACCATCCGCACCACACAGTACTGCAACCTCGGCAGTGCGACTCCTAGCAATTCACTTGATACTCTTGCGCAGCACTTAGCAGGTGCAGTCGAAGGACAGGAGCAGCAAAAACCACGCAGCCAAGGCTGCATATTGCCTGCAGGAGGGCAGTTTACTGCTTGCTCATACTTTTGGCCAAAGGGTCGTCATCATTGCCCGTTGGGACGCCTCAACCCCTCCTTCCCGTTACCTGCCCAGCTTCTCCTCGGTGCTCGTCCTTCGACACCTTCGGTAGTGCCTGTGACTTGTGACTTCTGACTAGGTCATTTGAAACAATGCCACGCTTTCTGTGGAGTGCTTGTCAGCATCCCGGCTTGGTCCCTGGATGCCCACTCCCTGTGCCTGTGCAGTGAGAGGGTTGTCTCTCCTGCACATTCAGGAACCTCCGAAGTGAGAGCAAATGGCCCAGCTCAGCGATGCTCGATGGCATTAGTCTTGGCGCTTGTGCCTTTCGTCCGAGAAATCGTGCTCGTTGGCTTGGTTCCCATGTTCCAACAAGTTTGCCCGTGGCTGCTAGAGTGTGGCCATCGACTTGGCAGAAAGAGAGCTTGCCACTGCAACGCCGCTCAGTCATGCACTGCACAACCAAGCATTATCAACGCAAACGTTCATCTAACCGAAGAGCCCGCTATGACTGCATGATCTTCGGCAACTGAAGCTGCTTGTCTAAGTGCGAGAACATGTGTAACAGCCTGGCAATCCTGTCCAGCCTCCAAGGTACCCGATGGCCATGTCGTCCTGTACAGTCAACTCAGGGTTTGCAATCGATGCATCCAGGACAGTAGCAGCACGCAGCAACATGGCAATCGCGTGAGTGTATAGCAACCACGGACTTCAGCTTACGAACAATCGAAAGCACGGCCAAGATGTCTCATGACCGCATGAAGCTCGCACTCAGTCTCACACTCCCGCTCACACTTCCACTCACACTTACGCTCACACTCCCGCTCACACTTTTTGCTGTGCTACGGATTCCCGAGAGGTTAAACGGATTCCTAAACTCTCCCACGCAAAAGCTTCTCGGAATGCTTCAACTCAAGGTGCAGCACACGGCCCACGGCCTTCATGGCTTAAACCTTCGTCTCCGAGCAGCGAGGAGTCGAAAGCCTTGGTCAACGTTTCGCACAAGTCCTGCTGAAACATTCGAGTGCTCTGTGATGGATGCCCCTTGCCAGACAGTTTATGTTGCGGGCTTCCCAGGCACAACTTTCTGGTCTAGTGTCATCGCAACAATTTTACAGCAACATGTCGGGAGAAAGCAACGCACTGTGTCGCGGTGCACACCCTGAGGCAGATCTGCTCCAAGGGCGGAGAGAACCCTTCCCTGACCCCTGCTGACGCTTAAATTTCACGATGTGCCAAGTACAAATGCACTCTCGCACCACATCCCCGCTGCCATCCGGGAGCAAAACCGAGAAATTCGGAGTCTGCGACATCGTTCCAGCCTGAGCTATCGCACGGCGCATAGGTATTCCCAAAGCACACAGCTATGTGCCAATCGATCTTGAGTTGCCCACAGTTCCTTCCACATTGAAAGCCGTGTTCCGCGCACGAGCTATGCTCATGGTAACACACGCAACTGACTGACTGGATTATCGGCATCTGCACAAGTTAAGGACACCTCCCGATACCACGACAGCATCACAGAGGTTTGCATGCCTTAACAGTACACTGTGGTTTAATCTTTAGTGGACCAACTGCAAAAGCTGTAGCTTGCACGCAACACAACTAGCTTTCTTCGTGTCCGCACACTGCCGGCTAAACAGCCCATCGTTAACTGTCACAAAGAAGCCCAGCAACTCCAACACCTGTGGGGCCAAACGGCTGCCGGTTTCCAATAATTCACACCATCCTACGTACAGCATCTCTAACCAACCTGTGCTTCAGTTCCGCCGTTCACGTGCAACCTTGCAACATTGAAATCTGGTAAACATTGCCATTGGGTCCATGTATGTTGTGTGTCGCACGAAGAAGACAACATATCGCCGGCATAGATTTGGCACGTAATTCACAAAAGCTTTCTAAAGTTTGTTTTCAATGACGTCGGCATGATACAAGAGTGTGGAGAGCTGCCGTAAAACAAGGAAAATTCGAAGCGTTTGACGTGGTTGGATTTCTTGCTTGCCTTGTCAATGGACAGAAAAGCTTGAAGCGAAACACAAGACAATCGCGCAACCAAGCGAAAACAGGGTAGAAAGCTGCGTTGGACAGCAACGGAACAGTTACACGGTTGTTTTGTTACTTCAAAGACAGCTTCTTCACGTTTACCACAACCACTGAAACTGTGGCGAAAAGAACCTAAAAATCACAAAACAGCTCCAAGCATGCCATCCAACACAATTGTACAATTTCTTTTTGTCGGAACCTCTCAGCTGCACAAAGCAATAGTTGTTGAATCTTGCGATTGCTCTGAACAAATCTTGCAATTGCTCCGAACAGACATACACGATTATCACTTAGGCAACTTTTCTCCAAAGTACAACAACACGGAGAAAACACGTTGTTGAAGTGGAGAAGTTTTTTGAACATCAAAAAACTTTTGAGAATTGCAGGCTACCTCTCAGCAACAATGAAAAAGGAAAAGCCAAGCATTCCAAGAGAACAACATAATGGAAGCTATTGTATTCTTGCATTTTCACGGACGTCAAGCACTCGCAAACGTTCTAGCGCAGAACTAGCGTATTCCGTTTGGCGCGTAGCAAGAAAGTTCGGTCCACTTAAAGAGTGCACGGCACACGGCCGGAACCTCATATGCTCGATGCTGTGCCAACATTTGCAAATCGCTGGAAAGGAAACAGTTCAGTTTCCGGTTAAAAACACAAACTACAAGCATAAGTAATGTGGAGTTGCCGCGGAGTGTAGACGTTCTTCTTAAGTAAATAGTCCTTTCTCGTCCTTCTACCTGTTGCTGGAAGACTTTGTCCGCCCGTCTAGCCGCCTGCAACAGAAGCGTCAGGATGCAAAAGTGTGGCAAAACAGCACGGCAGCTTTCTGAATCACAGTAATTAACTCTTATCGTTTCTCACACGATGGCGCAAATGTTTTAACGCGCATTAAGCCCAGCGGTTAGTGAGCTGTTGCCTCTCTAGTGTTGAACTGTTGCCCCAGCAAGTATCTCTTGAACATTGACTCAGCTCTGCCAGCTGAGTCAGTGAGTGTGAATGAGTCGCTTGGCTGCGACGAACGTCTGCCTGCAGCGAGCATAGCATCGTTCCTCTTCGATGCTGTGGGTCTGCGATGAGCTCCACGTTGAAACCCTGCTCTTCGTCTTTCATAAAGTTCGTCGCAGCAAGCTGAGTCTCTGGTCTGTTGCTGAGGGCAGGTTCACGTCCTGCATCCAGACGAGGCTAGCCTGTCCAGGCACATCCCTCATTCTCTTTGCAGGCATGGACTCTCCTGTGCGAGGCTCGAGGAAAGTCTCGACACTTCGCTTCCAATCCGCCTGTTTCTCGCCGCCTTTGCCTTCAGCTTCTGTTGTACCTGCACAGGCAGAAACAAAAACTAGGCACTCGCTGCACTGCTAATCTTCCTCACAACACGTGTGTGGAGGAAGCTATGCTTGTAAGCTGAATATGAATCTTGCTGCTTGTGAATGGCTCCAAACGCCATTATGATATACCTATGAGATATGTTATTGAGCTCTGCGGAGAACAAAACAAACTGGAAGGTGGGTGAGCGGCCGGCTGCATGGAAGGGCTGGAACATGCTAAGGCCGCAAACTGACTTATAGCAAAGGTTTCAAAAACTTGGTGGGGTTTCGACGAGGCTTCGGCTCCAAGCTGCAACAACGAAAGCTTCTTTTGCTCCGATACGCATGAATTCGTCCCAACGAAAATGGGAAAGGTAACCAGCTCGCAAGCTTCATGGCTACGAGCCTCTCAGAAGTCTCAGGAGCCTCTGCGACTTTTGAAACTACAAAACAACACTTCGGAAAGCTCCAAAGCTTCTGCTGCATTCTGAACACCTGAACCAAAAACCTGCTATGAACCCAACTACTCTTGGATGCCTTCCAAAAACAAAACGACCAAGGCAAGGCGATCCATCCTGGCTCGTTTACGAAACACAACCACCACAAGATGCTTTCGCCGGTTTCGCCAATTCTGTGTTTCCAGCACCACGCTACTCATGCCTGCAGCACGACTGGACGACCCGCTTCTCAAGGTGTTCTTCCCAGAGATCCTAACCGATCTGGACGAGCCCACCAGCAACGACACGGAGCAGCGGCGAGCAGCTTTCCTCAAGAGTTTGTCTTCCTTGCCTGTGGTCGCCAGCAAGGGACCGAAGGCAGCCAAGTCGCGATTTAACTCGCTGCAGCATGCTCAAGACCACCTGGACCCCTCACTGGGCCACCTTCGTCTTTCTGTTGACCGTTGTGTGTTTGACCGAGCTCTGGACCCCGGACAACGTCCTCAAGAAGCTTTTGAAACCCGAGCAGTCGGGAGCAGCTGCAACTGGCAGCTCTACGGATGTCGGACCGACCAGCGGCACCACGAAGCAGGCTGGGATCCGGCAAGCAAAGGAGCAGATGAACAAGATGCGAAGCAAAGCTGTGAATACTCTGCACGTCTATGCTAAGTGGATCAATGATCCTGTGAACAAGTCCTATGCCAGACTTATGTTCTATCTCCAGCAGCCAGAAGCCCTGGATTCGGGGCACATGCTCGTGCACATGCGGTCGGAGAAAAGCACCCGAGAGTTTTTCATGAACTGGGCATGCTGGAGCTTTCTGAACGGCAGCCTTGCTGGAGAGGAATGAGAAGAAACAAGCAGCTGCGAGAAGCTTCTTGAAGACTGTGGCCAGCACCCTGGAAGCAGTGCAGGCCAACGGAACACTTGCAGCAAAGCAGATGCTCAAAGGGCAGCACAGTTCCCTAGGCAACTGGGCTCTGGATCGCTTGGCGAAGGTTGAGTTCCAGACGACTCCTGCTGAGGTTTTTCACATGGTTCTCAGTTCTTCGGAGGCCTTTTGAACACCAAGCTCGTAGAAGATCTCAACAAACTTCAACGGGAACACGAATGCAGAGACTCCACGAAGCAGGAGGTGAGCGAGATGTTGAGCTGGCGGATAGGGACACAGCATGACCTGCTGAAGGGCTACAAGCGGAAGGAAATCCAACCTGCCGACCGTGAGAAGTCCCCCCGAGGACTACGACCCCCAGCTCCTTTTCAGGCGGCAAGTCGACAGGATGAGCAAGGCAGAGAGGACTGAGAGAGAGGAGAAGATCGAGAGCACCTTGGAGAAGATCTGCGGACCGACGTGTGGCCGATGACCACGAAGATCCTTGCTGAGCGGGGTGAAGGCTGCAGAGCATGGACTTTCGAATTGGAGGTTTCGGAACTGGAGTTCCTGTTCGTCTTCGACAACTCAAGCGTCCTTGTGCATCCGCTAAAGATGATGTTGCGTGCGAATGTGGCTTGCACACAAGTCATCCGGATCCGGCGTGACTCTCACGAGCCACAAGGCAGCCTGCTTCTTGGAGTCTTTCCACACGAGCACAGGCCTTGCCAACCTCTCGGAAGAGATCCTCAAGCGGCTCTGCAAGGACTGGGCAGTGCCCCTACCGAAGAGCTAAAAAGCCCTGGCGGAGACTAAGGCTCTGCGAACTGCTCTGCTCCTGAACAAGAACCCGGGTCTTGAGGCTGCGTCCGTGAAAGCCGCTGTGATGACAAGAGATGGCAATCTGCAGATCATGAAGCTCATGAAGAGCAGCACGAAGAAGAAGACAGAAGTTCAGGTCAGCGAAGCCATGCAGAAGTGCTTCGAGGACGTGGTGCAGAATCTGCCGCCGAACTTGAAGACAGCAAGAGCGAAGGCCCAGGCGAAAGCCAGTCCAGGCCAAGCGGGACTCCAAGAAGAAGCCGCTTCGAGAGCAGCAGCTCCTTCTGGCACTTCATCAGCAGCGGTCGCTAAGCTGGACGACCGCTGGAGGGCCAGCTGCGGGCCTGGCAGCACTGCGGCAGCTCTGGTCCTGGAGCGAGTTGCACTTAGGAGAAAGCATGCCGGAACAGGCCGCCAAGAATGAAGCGGGGGCAATGATTGCCGCGAGGGAGCCTGGCCCGCAAAAGACATGTTTGTTTCTGAAATAGATCTCTTGCATCTAGTGTCGGGGCCACCCCCCTTCGACGAAGGGGGGCTTGAAGGGGGGCTTCAAGCCCCCCTTGAAGGGGGCCTGAAGGGTCAGACCCTTGAAGGGGGGCTTGAAGGGTAGCCTGAAGGGGGGGCTGGGGGGGGGGGGTGAAACCATAAACCTCTAAAGGGGTAGCTCTAACAGGTACCTACAGCAATGGCTGCATGCTCATACATATACATTCCGCTGCCCATTGGCTCACAGTGGTTTTACCATATTGAGACAAGACAAGCTCTCCTTGCGTAGCAAGACAAAACAACTACTGTCCGTGTGCAGGGCGCTGCCCTTTGATCCTTAGGGAATAAACTGGTCATACACCTCCTTACAAGGAGTATCCCTTGGGGGTGTATCGGCACAGTTTTCTGGTAGCGGAGCCCGGAAAGGGCCGCCCGCCTCACAAAGTCCGCTACAGCGGTCGGCCTCGCCGAACGCTTAACCAAGCGGATAAGAGGCAGCACAATGTCGAGCTCGCATAGCGAAGCCGACGGCAGTTCCCAATCCTCCGGGGGATATGAGAACGAAGAGACCTCCCAAGGTCCAGCTACTTATGTCGCACAGTCATATGCAACATCTGACCGCATGCTTGCATCATTAGGCATAACGCCCAAGATCGCGCCTGCCTATGATGGCACCACCTCGTGGTTTGAGTATGAACAGTTGATTGACGACTGGTGCGATATAACAACGCTGGATGATACCAAAAGAGGTCCGTCTCTCAAGACGAGGCTCTCCGGATTGGCCGCAGTACAAAAAGAATCACTCAACCGAGAAAGGCTTGCAGCCCCAGACGGAGTAGATTACTTCAAGAAGAAGATGCGTCCATTTTTCGTGAAAGGAGAACAGTACGTTTTCCTGTGGCGTTTTCTCGGCCTATTCAAGGCATGGAAGGGCAACCAAGACTTTGTGACTTGGATTGCTAAGTTTGAGATCGTGCTACAGCGCGTGAGAAACTCATGGATGGATCTCTTACCAGAGATAATTCTGGAAGATGCCCATCCGGATTTCATGCAGGCTGTGCAAGCAGATCAAACCTTCATGCGCCTACAGGATGCAACCGAGAGAGACACATACGCCGCACGTTTCTTCGAAACATGGAACAAGGAACGCCTTGATAATCATCGAAGAGCGTTTCCTCTAAATGATAATCTCCTAGCTCTCCTCTTCCTAGTGCAGTCCGACCTAAATGAGATGCAACGTGAGAGGTTGGTAACAGCATTGACCAACCAAGGTTACCGAATTGAGACCTACACGTACCCTATAGTACGGCAGACCATGTTCGATCAGTTCTCAACGACCAGAACTGGTCTGCAGGATCCCAATATTCGGCACACTTCTCACAAGAAGGACCGCCATGGAAGGAGAGATCAACGCCGCAAACGCGGAGGTCGAAACTTCCTCATCCTCGATCAGGGTGAATACGACGGAGTCGATGGATTCTGGCTTCAAGACGAAGACACCCTTGAGGAAGGCTTTCTTGCCGCCGAGGATGAAGAAGCTGTCTTCTGGACAGTTGACGACCATGAGGCCTTCGTTGCAAGGAGATTCAAAAAGGGAAGAAGACCAAGAATGCGTCCCGGATCACCGGGAAGAGCAAAGGGTGGCAAGCGAAAAGGACGTGGCCGTTTTAGGTCATACCGCGGAAAAGGGAGAGCCAACCAGGCAGAACATGATCCAACTGATTCCAGCTATTTCGGTAAAGGTAAAGGAAAGGAAAAAGGAAAAGGTGGAAAAGGCAAAGGAAAAGGAAAGGACAAAGGAGATAAAGGAAGCTCCTTCAAGGGTACAAAATCAAAAGGCAAAGGTAAGGATACAGCTAAGTCTGCCTCCTTACAAGGAGACCAAACTGGATCTCCACAGGCCTATGAAAGTTCCACCGCACCGAGCTGGGATTCATGGTATGAGGACAGTTATTATACTGACTCCAGTTGGAATTATGCCGCTTATGACGATCAAACGTCTTATACATACTATGCATCACAAGCCTCACGAAGAAAGACACGGAAAAAGAAGAGAAGAAATCAAGCAGGATCATCAGGTAGAGGCACAGATCCGAGCGCGCACCAAGAACCCGTGTACAACTCATCAGTGAGTTACGCGCCCCAGGTTTTTGAACCATCCGAGGGGCAAGGTGTGGAGACTGCAACAGCAGTGTTTCCGTTGCAGCACACCGTCCTATCTGCTCTCACCGAGCGGATCAATCTTGATAAGAGCCCTACCTTTGTCATTCTTGACTCTGGTTGTACTAGGGCTATGGGTTCCCGCTATGCGGTGAACAGGCTTATCAAGGCCGTGAAGCAACATGCCCCAGGCATGATTGATTTCACTTTTTCACCTTCGAACACGAAGTTCTCTTTCGCAGATAGTGAAACAGCTCTTATCAAGGAGCGTGTAACTCTATGGTTTAACACAACTCCAAGAAGAGATACAACCATAGAAGTTTTGGATCAGGGAAGAGTCCCCATCTTGTTCTCCATTGAACAGATGAGAAACCTAAGAATGACCCTCGAGTGTAGTCCAACAGCTGACCTAGCAACGTGTGAAGCTTTCGGTTTGTATAAAACCCCTCTTCCGATTAGTACCAATAACCATTTGGTATTGGACCTTCTAGGCTTTACTTCCACCAGGAAGTACCTTCCTAAGTCAGGTACATCGTTCCGTGCGACGGAGACTGCTCTAGGAGCCAATAAGCCTTATGTTAGGATACCGGAAGGTCGCTGTCCAGCCTGTGCCGGACAGAAAAAGGCTCACACGTACCTCAAGGGTTGTGACAGAGCACCAGAGGGAGCAGCTGATCCACCACCGAAGAGGATTTCAGGGAAAAGGAAGCCTCTTCCATCTGATCCGGCAGAATCATCTGCCAAGAGACTTGATCCACCAGAATCATCTGGAGATGTTCCTGAGCCTTCCGGACCATCGGAACCTTCATCAGGCTCTAGGGACAAACCTGCAGAACCTTCTGCACCGCATGAACCTCCAGAAGAAGAAAGACTTGAGGTTCCATCTGCGAAGATAAAGACTCCAAAGGGTCTTAAAAACCTTCTGAAGAAAACCCGCAAATATGCGGACAAACCTCCTGTTGAAGAGAAGTCTACAGTCCCAGGAGCTGATGACGGGACGGAGGTAAGACCACTTGAGTCAAGAGAATACCCGGCTCCTGGCACAGACTCACCAACAGGTGAAGAGATTGTCGCAGAACCTTCGCCATCTCTTCCAATTGCTCTTCGCAGGATTCATGAGAAGCTTAAGGACCCTGTAGAACTCTACAAGCTTCACCTTAAGCACCGTCATATGAGTACGGATCAGTTCAAGCGACGCACAAAAGCCTTACAGATCCCAAAGGAGATCTACGAGCTATATGACCAACTGGTCAAAAAGTGCTCAGCCTGCCAGGAACATGTGAGAGCTCCTTCGAGAGCTAAGATTTCTGGTCTAAGATCAGAGACTTTCGGTGATCTCACCTTCGTAGATCACGGTGAGCTTCCAATTCCCGGCAAGGATAGTCGCTTAGTATTTCTTATTCTCTATGATGGAGCAACAAACTTGTTGACTGCCGAAGTAGTCCAGGATAAAGAAGAACATACTACAATGTCGATTATGAATGACTACTTTGAGAAATTTCAGATCAACCCAAAGGTTGTAGTTGGAGATCAAGCATTCATGACTCCAAAAATGGAGGCTTATTACAATCGGCAGAATATCAAGCCTGTGGCAACAGGACCTGGAACACCATGGCCCAACAGGGCCGAAGCTGCTGTAAGGTTGCTGAAGCATCAGATTAAGCTCATACTTCAGATCCTGAAGGATGGTGACCCGCAGTATAACGGAATCACCATGAAGTATGGCAACCTCGTTCGCCAAGCATGTTTGGCAAGAAACTCTTCGATTACCTACGGAGGAGTTACTCCTTTGGAAATGGCCTTCGGAAGGCGTCCTCGAGATGTTATCACACCAGAGAACGCCGATCCCAATCAGTTGACAGGTAATCCAACTGATACGGAAGTCACTGCGAGAGCCATCAAGGAGCTTGCCAACAGGGCTTACCAAGAGGCACGCCAATCTGATGATCTGCGTAGAGATCTTGCAGCCAGACTGTCAATGACCCAAGGACCTTTCTCTTTGGGAGATAAGGTTTTCTACTGGTCAGAAGATAAGTCTAAGATTGGATCCACTGGGTCCAAACATGGATCTTGGCTAAAAGGTAAGGTGATCTCCGAACTCGGAGGATCCATGGTAGGTGTGGATCTTGGAACACGCATCGTCCGTGTCAATATCTCAAAACTGAGGAAAAACTATGACATAACATCTGATGTGGAGATTCCTCTCGCGCCTGATGAGGAAACTCTGACGTCAGAAGGTTCTGACCACGCAAGTTGCATGGTCACCTTCGATGCTTCCCTGCAGTCGACAGACCTAACGGTTCCACATCAAGAGTGTCACTGGCAGGTCACCAGTACTGGGAAGATTGATTTTCTAGAACTCTACGGCGGATCTCCCCGCATGAGTCACAAGGCTGCCCTATCAGGTCTTCGAGTAGGTCAGCCAGTCGATTTGCGTAGCGGTCTAGATCTTGAGCAACCGCAAGGTCGCTCTAATCTTCTTAGGATCATCAAGGAACAAGAACCTACTATATTGTTATGTCACCTGACCATTCTCAGTGGTCTAGCTGGTACTCACAGTGGAAGAAAGGCTCTGCCAAGAGACTTTCTGTTTTAAAATTCTGTGAATCGGTCGCAGACCACCAAATGAAGCTCGGACGTTACTTTGTTCTTGAGAACCCATACTACAGCAGGCTCTGGTCTTCACCAGAAGCAAAACGCCTGTTTTCTAATCATAAGATCAGCTATGAGGTCTGTAACCTACAGGCCTATGGCATGAAAGATCCAACAGGATACTAT